TTGTGCTCCCCAGGTCTGATCAGGGTGCTGCCACAACTGCACTGCATGATCTCTGGCAGTCTGGATGCTCCAGGGGCCAGCTGCTGCCTGGGCCCTCCAGACCACCTTCCTGTCACTGTGTGATGGTTCCTGGTTGCTGTGAGCAGGGAGTGTGGCACAGCAGAGCTGCAGCTGCCACAGCGAGTGGCACTGGCCTCTCCAGGGCTCAGCTCGCTCCCCTGCGGCAGCAGAGCTGCTCTGAGCTCCTGTGCTGGCTCTGGGCCCTGTCCTGCTGGAGCTGAGGCAAACCCCCTTCTCTTGCAGCTGCCTTCCTAACACAGACAGTGTGTCTGGATGACACAACAGTGAAGTTTGAGATCTGGGACACGGCGGGGCAGGAGCGGTACCACAGCCTGGCCCCCATGTACTACCGGGGGGCTCAGGCAGCCATCGTGGTCTACGACATCACGAACACAGTGAGTGTGGGCAGGGCTGGGGGGCTGCCAGGAGGCTCCTGCTGCCCCTGGGAGCGTGTGTGGGTCAGAGCCCTGCAGGTACCTGGCTGTGGGTGCCAAGTTCTTGAAAACTGCTCGTGGCCTCTTCCTCAGCTCTGGCCAAGGCTGTGAGCTGATAAAGGATCCTGCTGCCAAGTGCTGCAGAGGCAGAACATTCCTCACAGGAAAACCTTGTTCTAATCATATCTGCCCTGTGGATTCCTACACGGCTGCCCTTCCTGACTGCTGCCTCCTGTTTGCTTCCAGGACACATTTGTACGAGCCAAGAACTGGGTGAAAGAGTTGCAGAGGCAGGCTAGTCCCAATATTGTAATTGCGCTAGCAGGAAACAAGGCAGACCTTGCTAACAAGAGAGCTGTGGACTTCCAGGTGAGTGGGAATCCAGAGAAGTTGTTTCCCCAGCAGGTCAGGAAAGCATATTTTAGATTTTTGCCTAAGTGAGGGAGATGGCAGCTATGTAAAATACGCTTTGATGGAGAATGAAAGTGAGGTTTTGTGCTGAGGACTGCAGGATGCCACTGAGCAGGATCTGTGCCCTGCCTTTGCTTCTGTCATAGCACATGTGGCCCTGGCTGGTGAAAGTCCTGGTGAATGTGGAGGAGGAGGTCCACAGAGCACAAGCTTCTGTCCTCAGCCTCCTTTGCTGCCTTACTCATGTGGGGATGTCTGCAGGGTGTGAAACAGCATCTTCTGGGTACGAGACACATGAGGAATCGTTCCTAGCTTGGTCTCTGCTCTTCACAGCTCTTTCCTCATCTGAGGCAAGTGCTCAGGAGAGGTTCTTACCCAGCCCTCACACAGGATTGCTTGTGGTGCACTTGCAATGGGTGACACTCCCAGCTGACCCAGGCACTGTGTGTGCATGTGGCTCAGTCAGGCTGTGCCCCAGCTCAGCTGAGGGACACTGGCTGTGCAGGGCTGCAGGTGGAGCATGTCCCTGGTTTGTCCAGGCCAGGTGGGGGCAGGGACAGGGGAGGCAATTTCTGGCCCAAGGTAGTACATAGTGTTTCTCCAGCAGTTAGTGCATTGACAAGTGCAAGAAGTTTGCTTGGGGCTCCTGGCAGGCTGCCTTTAGCATTCTGATGTGATTGTTTGTAGGATGCACAGACATATGCAGATGACAACAGCTTGCTGTTCATGGAGACGTCAGCGAAGACAGCGATGAATGTGAATGAAATCTTCATGGCAATAGGTACGGCCTGTGTGTAGGGCTGGGGTAGCTCTGAGCACCAGCACTGCTGCCCAAGAGGGTCCTGTGTCAGCCAGGGCTGGTGGCTCTTACTGGGGCAGGTGTCCAGTTTGCTACACTGGTGTGGCTGGTCTTTCCCCAACTGTGTGGAGCCTTAGCCTTGCAAAGCTGGTTCTCTGTCCCTGTGTCTGGGGTGGTGATGGAGATGGGAGCAGGTCTGATGCCAGCCAGAGCCAAGGATGGGGTGCATCTGCATTTCCATTCTGTCCCAACCTCTGTTGGCAGTGAGGGCTCAGGTGGGAGCAGGCTGGGGTGTGCGTGGGAGGAGGTTGGCCTCTTGGGAGGACCCTGCTAACATCCTGTTTCTTTCCAGCCAAGAAACTGCCAAAAAATGAACCCCAGAATGCTCCTGGTGGCCCAGGCAGGAATCGGGTGGTGGACCTTCAGGAGAGCAGCCAGCCGAGCAGAAGCCAGTGCTGCAGCAACTGAGCAGCTGCTCCGGCCCGCGAGCCCTTGGAGGACGTGACTGGAACCCACGCTAACGATCGCACTTACCGTAGGGCGGCTGCTGCCGGCGCCGCTGTGATTCTCCATCCCTTTCTGATCATAGGCTGGAGGGAGTTCTTCCACCTGCACCTTTCTGTACAAATACTAATTCAATTCTAAGTCTTAAGTCACTTTTTTAATATATGAACTTCTGCTCTTCCCTCTTCCTGGTGGTGGTGGATGCAGGACCTGGTGTCTGCCCAGCCAGCGTGGCCGTCCCGCGGGTGAGGCCAGCAGCAGCCAGGTCCCACAGCACTGTAGTTCACTATGGGAAACAAAGGGATATTGGGACATGTGTTTAAAGTTCCCTGTCTGTAAGAGCTGAGGCTGATCCCGTATGATGCGCCCAGAACAACCACTAAACTGTAGCATTAGAGACAAACTCCGGCTCTTGGGCCACTTATTGACCAAATCAATGATGAGTATTTGGGGTGGGGCAGAGGGAAGCAAAACTGGTTTCTTCTGTATTTTGTATTGTATGTTTCTCCATGTAACCAATCAGTATCTTGTCAATATAGTACATCCAACGAGCTGCCTGTTGTCTTTCTTTGTGTTGGACTCCAGCATGCCAACTCTTCTTTTCTCTCGGTTCTGTCGTAATGCACTAATCCTGTTGCAACTTTTGCAAAAAATCTTGTATAGAAATTTGTCCTTTTCTTGATGGTTGTGATGCCACTAATATTGTTAACCCTGCTCTGGTGAGAATACACAAGGTTTACTGATGTACAGAGGTGGGGTGGGGGAAACCTTGGGTAACCTGTCGGTGAGAATGACGTGTATTGCAAAAGCCTGTAATTCCACAAAGAATGAAGGGAGGTATTAAATGGCTTCTGTTGCCAGACTCTAACTGATGTTGGCTGCTGCCTAGTGCCTAATGCAGTGTCTTATGCATCCTGGTATTTAAGAGGAACTGTTGACTTAGTCTTCATCACAAACTTCAGTTTTGTGTGATTAAAACAAAATTTTTATAAACCTATCATAACCACAATGTTCATGTTTCTTAATGCAGCAGGGACTGGACCTGAGCCCAGCAGTTCTGGTGGAGGCTGAGATGTGCTGGGCTCCTCCTGATATGTCCCACACCTTGGTAGGGAAATGGGGCCCTTCCTTCCTGAGGAGGGAGAAGTGGGGCTCCTGAGCTCGGGCTGTGCAGCTGCTCCTGCACATCTGCTCTCCTCACAGTGATGGTGCTGGTCTTCACTGGGCTCCAGTGTGCTCAGGGGAGCTTGAGGGAAACTCTGGGAATTATTCCTTGCTTGATATTTCTGGGGAAGCTACAATGCAGTTGGGAAGAGGTGGGGGATCAGTGTGTGGAGGAGCTCTGCTCTGCAGTGGGACAGGCCTGGGACGGTGCACCAGAACTCATGAACACAATGCCTCTGTCCCTGGAGCACGATGGCCTTGGAAGATGCTGCTCTCCTGTCACTGCTGCATGGACTGTGAGACCCCAACACCCTGGGACCTGGAGTCAATGTGGAAGAAGGAGCAGCCCCTTGCAGCTCTATCCCTACCATGTGTGCTGCTGACAGCACCATTCATGCTCGGGAGAGGCTGAGGATGGAGATGTGCTGCGTTTGAAACCTGCTGTCCCCTCAGCCGAGGAGCTGCAAGAGGCTCAGTCACAGGAGAGCTGTGAATAGAGTTGTATGAACAGCCTTGGCTTATGTGCCCTTCATCTGCTACCCAAGGTCTCAGTGCCTCTTCCTCATGTTGGATTTCCTTAAAATCTTGGAAGCAGGAAGGGTCTGTGGAGTGATTTAGTGATGGAGTGCCTGGACTCGTGCTCAAGCCTGGGCTGCCTGTGGGGTGTGGGCTGCAGTGGCCCCCAGTATGCCTCATTTGTGTGGTGCTGTTTGTGCTTGGACTGCTGAGCTGCTGGGACCACCCAGTGCTTACAGTGTGGGGTGGACTGATGCTGGTGGTTTCCCCAGGCAGCCAGAGATGGACCAGTTTTGGAGAAGAGCATCCCTGATCCCACTCAGAATAGTCCAGTGGACACTGTGTGCAGTGCTGTTGCCATCTGCTGGCTCCTCTCTGTGAGTGCCTGGTTTCTTCCTAGACTTGGGGTCTCTGTGCAGGTATCTGTGATGCCCTAAGGAGGGTGTTGCTGCTTTCCAGAGCAGGTGCTCAGGGGCTCAGTATCGAGGCTGGGGACCTGCTGTTGTTCCTGGTGTGTGTGGGCAATGGGCTGTCTGATCTCAGGGTGGCTTTAGCACAAACAGGCATTCCTGCCTGCTGCCTGCCCGCATTCCTGCTGCCTGCCCACACACCTGCTGCTTGCCTGGGCCTGAGCGCGGGTGTTTGTGGTGGTTATGCATCATGCCCGGGGTTGGGCTTTTCCCTCCCTGCTGCTGGGAGCTCAGGGTGGACCCCAGCAAGCCCTTGCCAAGCTGGGAAGGGGAAAGTGTGAGTACAACAGCCTCACATCACACCCCAGCCAGTGGTTCCCTCCCTGTTCTGTGGGGATGGGTATTGGCCAAGGCTGTGGAGCTGGAGATGATGCTGACAGCAGTGGGAGGGAGGGGTGAGGGTACCCCTGCTGCTCCTGTACAGGTGAGTGGGACGGCCCTTCCTGCCTGCCTCCCTCCCTTGGCAGCACAGTGCTCCCAGATCCCCTCCCTCACAGAACCCTCTGGGTCTGCTCTCTGGCCCCATTTTGTGCTGCCCTGAGAAGCAAAAGAAATTCTTCCCTCTCTGTGCATCCCATCCCCTTGGCACCAAGAGTAGGGCGCAGCCTCCCCACCAGTCAACACCCAGAGAACACGAGAAGATTCAATGCAAAAGTGTTTTTATTGGATACAAAAACATTCCAGTATAGTGAAAAAAATGACATCATTGCCAATGAAGCTTGTCTGGGCTTAAACCCGAGACTCGCTCCTGTCTGCTCCGGTCCTGCCGTGGCCATCGGGTCCCATCCTGTTACACCTGGGCTTTCTTGCTGGCTCCATCCTCAGAAGCTGGTCCGGTCTGTGGGGCAGCAGGGCTGACCTGGATGGGCACGTTCCTCTCGGGAGCGGCCGGCAGTGCCAGCTTGGGGGCCTCGATGCGGAGCTGCCCTTCCTTGGACAGGGAGCAGGTCAGCGCTTCGGCATCCACCTCCTCGGGCACGTCCCACTCCCGCTTCAGCACCTCGTACTTGTAGGAGAAGGAGCCCTTCTCATCGACGTTCTGCGTCTCCTTCTGCCCCACCAGCACCACCTTCCTGCCCACCACCTTCACCGACAGCTGCTCGGGAGCGAAGTTCTTGACGTCCTGGCAGACGGAGAAGCCGTCCCCAGAGCCCTGGGTCAGGGTCATGCTGGTGCTTGGGGTGTGCTCTGCAGCGATGGCTCCGTGGTTGCTCAGGAGCTGCTCGAAGCTGCTCATGAACTCCCGAGCTTTCTCCATCTCCTGCTGCAGCTCGGTGAAGATGGTCTCTGCGTGTGGCCAGAGGGTCCTCACTGTGCCCAGCCGGCTGGCCAGGGAGCTGGAGGCGAATGGTGCGAGGTGCATCCGGCAAAGCATCTCTGCTGCTGGTGCTGCTGCTGCTTCTGTCCCCTTTTCCAGTGGGTTGGAAGCGTTCTGCCCCGCTGCAGCCGCCGCAGGTTTTTAAAGCCGTTCCCTGGAGGCGTGGCCGTGTCCTGCACATTACGTCACCCTCGGGAGAAGAGCTCAGCACTTTCCAGCCCGTTCCAGCTCATTCTTGTTAGTCACCCGTGAGAAGAGGCACCGCTGACATCGTGCCCGGCATACCTTCGCCCTGACTCTTACAGCTCTGCTCTCCTGGCTTATAATTAGCAGCATCACCTCAGCCTCCGAGCGGGATGCCTGAGCCACCCTTGCCAAAAATCTGTGCCCTTTGCATTTCCCAGGCATGGAGTGAGTGTGGGTTGGTCTCCTCCCAGCCTTCCCCCACCCTCAGCCGTGGCCCATTTCTCCCATCTGTGTCCACGGAGGTCCCCTCAGCTGAGACCAGAAGTCGGTCCGTGGGCCCATGCCCAGGTGGGGTGCACAGTGGGGTGCTGAGGGGTCAGGACAGGATGGCCAAGAGAGAGAGGGGTCTCAGAAAGCGCAGGAAGTGCCTGGCAGCAGATGACATGGGATATGTACTTTTGGGTGGGACGAGTCCCTGTACTGGCAGAAGTGATGAGCTCCTGGCAGAATGGAGCCTGGCTCCACCAAGCCCCCGGTGGGGGGCCAGGGAAGGGCTGTGTAGCCCCCCGGCCATGGCCCCATGGGCTCTGCTGCATCACGATGGCTCTGCAGAAACCTGAGCTCCCAGCAGTGACTGCGGCTCCCTATTTGTGGCATGTGACGTCCCCAGAAACAGGCGCTGCTATTTTGGCTGGTGGATAATCAGCCTCTCAAAAATAGGCGATGGCTCCAGGAGGGTGCGTGGGGAGAGAGCGTTCTGGAAGGGACACACCCCTGGGCAGGGGAGAATAAAATCCGCTGTTCCCCTGCCCCAGCCCAGCACGGCTCCGGCCACTGCACCGAGCAGAGCTGCAGCACAACCAGGAGCACTCGTTTGGAGCAGAGATGCTTTGCCGCCTGCACTTCATGCCACCCATGTCCAGCTCGCTGTTCCCGTGGCTGGGACCCGTCCGCACCCTCTGGCCACATCCAGGCACCCTCTTCGCCGAGCTGGAGCGGGAGATGCGGCTGGAGATGGAGAGGGCTCGGGAGTTCATGAGCAGCGTCGAGCAGTACCTGAGCGGTGGGAGCAGCCCCGGGCGGCTCGGCATCACCGCAGAGCGCACCCCGAGCACCAGCGCAGCCCTGACCCAGGGCTCTGGGGACGGCTTCTCCGTCTGCCAGGACGTGAAGGACTTTGCGCCCGAGCAGCTGTCGGTGAAGGTGGTGGGCAGGAAGGTGGTGCTGGTGGGGCAGAAGGAGACGCAGAGCACAGACGAGAAGGGCTCCTTCTCCTACAAGTACGAGGTGCTGAAGCGGGAGTGGGACGTGCCCGAGGAGGTGGATGCCGAAGCGCTGACCTGCTCCCTGTCCAAGGAAGGGCAGCTCCGCATCGAGGCCCCCAAGCTGGCACTGCCGGCCGCTCCCGAGAGGAACGTGCCCATCCAGATGGGGCCGGCGGTGGCACAGCCAGCTGGCAGCACTGAGGATGGAGCCGAGCGAGCCAAGGCGTGAAGAGGAGCAACGGGGACCAGGCTGAGCCTGGCTACGGGGGCAGCTGCTGGCCGCAGAGCGGGACCGCGCTAGGACTGCGCGATGCCCCGGGGGGTGGCGTCTGCCCAAACCATGCGGCTTTTTTTGATATGTAATAAATATTCCTAACTTTTATTTGTGCGGTTTCTGTGTTTCTTGTCCAGCCCAGTGCTTTGCAGCGCTCCTGCCTGTGCCCACGCAGCGCGATGGGAGGGTGGGGAACGGGGCTGTGCTGGCACCGGGCACGTCCCTGGCACCTCTCCCCAGCTCTGCCCTGGCAGAGGAAGTTGGGCGAGGGGCTCCAGGCCATGTGCAGCACTGAGAATCCCCGGGAAGTCCTGAGCATCCCCCTGGGTAGCCTTCGGACAACCGATTCCCATCTTTGGGATGGTGCTGGAACACTCCCGTGCGGTGCCCGCATCCCCCGCGCCGGGTGCTGGCACCTTCCAGGCGCTGCCCGCAGCTCCGCGCACCAGCCCGACGCTAAACCGCGCCCCGCACGGTGAAGGAGGCGCGGCCTCTCCTAAATGGCCACGCGGGCGGAGCCGGTTCGCTGGTACCGGGCGGGAGGCGCGGCCACGCTCCTCGCCGGGCGCTCGGCCGCCCCCCGTGCCGGCTGCGAGAAGGCGGAGGGAGGCTCGCACACCGCATTTGGAGACCAGGGCGTGGCCACGCTCCATATTTGCGGGAGTCCGCGGAATGCGGAGCGCGCCGCGGGACCGAGCGCGGTACCGGTTACCGGAGAGGTGGGAGGGCTCCTCCGGGCACCGACGGCTCGGCCTCGCCCCGTGAGGGGCTGTCGCGGTGGGTCGTCATGACCGGACCTCGATCCTCTCTGGACGGCTCACGCCAGCCGCAGTCCCGAGTGCGAGCTCCGCTCCCGTTCGGGACAGCGGGTGACGTGAACCGGGCCCGGGAGCGCCGTCCCGGGAGCACCGGCCCCACCTCCCCCGCCGCGGCGGACTACGGATCCCGGCGTTCCCGGCGCGCAGGCGCACTGAGCGCGGGGCGCACGCCGGGCCCGGCATGGCGGAGCCGGAGGCCTCGCAGCCCGGGCGGCCCCCGCCGGGCCCGGGGACGGGAACGGCGGGGGCGAGCGGGGGAACGGCCGGAGGAGCGGGATCCAGCGACCCGGCACGGCCCGGGCTGAGCCAGCAGCAGCGGGCGAGTCAGCGCAAGGCGCAGGTGCGGGGGTTCCCCCGCGGGAAGAAGCTGGAGAAGCTGGGGGTCTTCTCGGCCTGCAAGGTGGGGGACAGCGGGACCGGGAGGGCAGCGGGTGGGGCTCGTGGCTGGGCAGGAACGGGAGATGCAAGGACGGGCATGGGTGGGCGGTGCAGGACGGGGTGCAGGGGATAGAGGAGTGGAGGTTCGGTGCTGTGCATGGGTGGGGGATGAAGGACGAGGGTGCTGACCTGAGTGGGGGGTGCAGGAGGGAGTTGCAAGGACGTTTGTGGGTGTAGGAGGGAAATTTAGGGGGTGCAGGAGGGTGAGTGCAAGGGATACGTGGACAAAGGATGCGGGATTGGGTGCTGGGATGTACATGGGGTGCAGGAGAGGGGTGCTGTGCTGTGTGCAGGCAGGGGGTGCAGGAAGAGAGTGCTGAGTTATCCAAGGGAGGTGCAGGGATGTCACTGAGCAGGGGCTGCAGAGTCCTGGGGCTGCATGGAGGAGCGTTGGGATGGTGGCTGATGCAGGGTGAGGGCTGAGAAAAGCTGAGCTGGGTGAAAAGGGGTCGGTGGGAGCCAGGGAAATCCTTTGGCCACAGAAGGCGGCAGCCTCAGCCCGTGGCAGTGCGTGGGACACTGCAACCACCACTCCTGTCCCTCATCCCAGGCCAACGACGCTTGCAAATGCAATGGCTGGAAGAACCCAAACCCCCCCACAGCCCCTCGAATGGACCTGCAGCAGCCGGTGACCAACCTGAGCGAAGCGTGCCGGAGCTGTGGCCATGCCCTGGGTAACTCCTGTGGGACCTCCTGGGCAGGGCGAGCGGTGCTGATCCCTCGGCCTCACGGTGCTTTTCTCTCCGGCACAGCGGATCATGTGTCCCACCTGGAGAACGTCTCGGAGGAAGAGATCAACCGTCTGCTGGGCATGGTGGTGGACGTGGAGAACCTGTTCATGTCAGTGCACAAGGAGGAGGACACGGACACCAAGCAGGTGTATTTCTACCTGTTCAAGGTGTGTCTGGGGCTCTGCATGTCTCACTGCCCCACTCATGGAGGGATTTGTCTGGTCATTGTGGGGGAGCGGGGGCTGTCCCACTGTTCGTGCTCTGTTGGAGCTGGTGCTGAAGCTGGGGCTGTGAACCATCCACAGCCCAGCTGTGGAATGCCAACCCTCTTCTGGAGTGACTGCTCTCCTGGCCTTGAATTCCCTAGGGGGGCAGTTTCTAGGGGATGAATGGGTGTGCTCCAAGGACAGCACTGGTGCCTTCCTGGCTGCAGAAATTGGAGCAGCCCCATGGCAGCATTCAGCCACCTCCACCATTCTGGGAGCATGCAGTTCCTGGGACTCTTTTTGACCATGTGTGACGGTGTCTTTGTAGCTGCTGCGGAAGTGCATCCTGCAGATGAGCCAGCCTGTGGTCGAGGGGTCCCTGGGGAGCCCCCCCTTTGAAAAACCAAACATTGAGCAGGTGAGGCTGCTGTCAGGCTCGTGCCCTGCCCTGATGACTTGTCGTGCATTCTGCTGCTCTTGCACGGTCCCCTCACTCTCTGGGAGGCAGCATGGAAGAGCCCAGAGCAGCCCCTGGAACCTTCCCACTGTCTCATCCTCTCCCCAGGGAGTCCTGAATTTTGTGCAGTACAAGTTCAGCCACTTGCCACCCAAGGAGCGCCAGACCATGTATGAGCTCTCCAAGATGTTCCTGCTGTGCCTCAACTACTGGAAGCTGGAGACACCGTCCCAGTTCCGTCAGCGCTCCCAGAACGACGATGTGGCCACCTACAAGGTCAACTACACCAGGTGAGGGCAGGGGGCCACTGAGCCAGCCCCCCTGGGGTCTAACTCCCAGGACTCTCCCCAGCTCTCCCAGACCGTCAGTCCAGTAGGAGAGCAGGCACCCAGTGGGGTCAATGCTTCTAATGGTCAGCTGTGCCCTTTGTCCACCTGCTCTTCTCGCCCCTGCTCCCAGCAGCATTGGCCCAGCAGGGATATGGTTGCTCTGGGGTCTGGTTCTGGCCCTGTCACCAGAGCCCCTTCCTGTCCCACAGGTGGCTGTGCTACTGCCATGTGCCACAGAGCTGTGACAGCCTGCCCCGCTATGAGACCACCCACGTCTTTGGGCGCAGCCTCCTCAAGTCCATCTTCACGGTGACCCGCCGGCAGCTGCTGGAGAAGTTCCGGGTGGAGAAGGACAAGCTGGTGCCGGAGAAGCGGACACTGATCCTCACCCACTTTCCCAAGTAGGTGCCCGGTGTGGAGATGGCAGCTGGAGCGCTGAGGGGACTCCTCTTTTGGGGTGCTTGCATGCTGATGTGCCACTCCCTTCCAGGTTCCTCTCCATGCTGGAGGAGGAGATCTACGGTGAGAACTCTCCAATCTGGGAGGCTGATTTCACAGTGCCAGCTACAGAGGGTGCCCAGCTGGTGTCTCGCCCAGGTATTTTAGGAAGCAGCTCCCGGTGTTTGGGGGCTGTGAGATAAAGGGTCAGGGTGTGGCTGAGCAGTGGCGGTGGCTGGGCTGCCATGGCGTGATGAGGCATTTTCCAGCAGTCATGGGCACCATGGGTCTGTTGCAGCTGTGGTGAGCACCGTTGCCGTGCCCACCACTCCTCTCTTCAGCAAGAAGCTCAGCAGCAGCAGCTCAGCTGCCAGCCTGGACTCCAGCACCCCAGAGCCCCTGCCAGGTAAGGTCCCATGAGCCCACGCCAGAGAGCTGGAACTGTTCGTGGTTCCTCCCAGCACTGCATGTGCCGCTCTGCTCCCATCCCAGGAGAGAAGCGGAAGCTACCTGAGAGCCTGACGCTGGAGGATGCCAAGCGGATCCGTGTCATGGGAGACATCCCCATGGAGCTGGTGAACGAGGTCATGCTAACCATCACGGACCCTGCTGCCATGCTGGGCCCCGAGGTATGGGCTGCGGATGCTGGGGTGGCTCTGGTCCTCTCCAGGGCCCACAGAGCTGCTTCCCCAGTGTGCCGAGGTGGAGTGGGGCTGCACAACAGAGGGTGTGCAGAGCCAGTGACCCCGACCCCGTGCCCCCAGACCAGCCTGCTGTCGGCCAACGCGGCGCGGGATGAGACGGCGCGGCTGGAGGAGCGCCGCGGCATCATCGAGTTCCACGTCATCGGCAACTCGCTCTCACAGAAATCCAACAAGAAGATCCTGATGTGGCTGGTGGGGCTGCAGAATGTCTTCTCACACCAGCTGCCCCGCATGCCCAAGGAGTACATCACTCGCCTCGTCTTTGACCCGTGCGTGGCTGGGGGATGCGGGGGGGCCGGTGTGGGGGGCTCCCCTCACCCTCGGCCGTGCTGCCCGCAGGAAGCACAAGACCCTGGCACTGATCAAGGACGGACGAGTGATCGGGGGCATCTGCTTCCGCATGTTCCCTACCCAAGGTTTCACGGAGATTGTGTTCTGTGCTGTCACCTCCAATGAGCAAGTGAAGGTGAGAGCAGGGAGATGGGCACACACATGTGCCCCCCAAAGCCTGGCATGGGCAGGATGGTCTCTCTGTAGCTTGTGTAGGGCTGTCCCAGCCCCTGTTCAGCACTGGCCAACCCCAAGCAGTGGTGGTTGCTCCAGGAAATCTTCCAGCTGCCATTTCCATGGGTGGGAGGGGGTTGTTTATCCCAACTGGCGCTGCTTGGGGGGGGGCCCTGTCTCACGGTACTTCCCCAAGGGCTATGGGACGCACCTGATGAACCACCTGAAGGAGTACCACATCAAGCACAACATCCTCTACTTCCTCACCTATGCAGATGAGTACGCCATTGGCTACTTCAAAAAGCAGGTGGGCTCCTTTCCCTAGGAGCTACCCCCAGCTCTGCTGCGCACCTGCCCCCTTCCACCTACCCCCTCCCACCTGCTCGTCTCTCCTAGGGCTTTTCTAAGGACATCAAGGTCCCCAAGAGCCGCTACCTGGGATACATCAAGGACTACGAGGGGGCGACCCTGATGGAGTGTGAGCTGAACCCCCGCATCCCCTACACTGAGCTTTCACACATCATCAAGAAGCAGAAGGAGGTACAGCCCAGGGGTGGGCAGGAGGGGAGGTGGGTGCTGCCAGCTACCCCCTGAAGGCAGGGGAGAGGTGTGGGGCTGTGCTGGCCCTGAGAGCAGAGTTGCAGGGCAGCAAGGGGGCACTGGTGGCATTGACACTGGCCAGGGTTGTTTCTGGCCCTGCATGGTGGGTTTGTGGGGTCCCACATCACGGGAGCATCCTGCAGCCCCCACTTACCTGCTCCCTTCTAACCCCCATTCCCTGCAGATCATCAAGAAGTTGATCGAGAGGAAACAGGCCCAGATCCGCAAAGTCTATCCAGGCCTGACCTGCTTCAAGGAGGGCGTGAGGCAGATCCCCATCGAGAGCGTCCCTGGCATCCGTGAGTCCTGGCAGGGGGTCTGGCAGGACGGTGCTGTCCTCCCTCCCCATGGCTGTAGTGCAGACATGCTGACACTGACATTTGTCTTCCAGGAGAAACAGGATGGAAACCACTGGGGAAGGAGAAGGGGTGAGCACTGCATGGGGGTGGGCGTAGACCTGCAGGAGCAGGGCTGGGGGCTCAGCTCAGGCTGTGCCTCAGTCTTGGCATTTTCCTGGCCCTGGAATGGAGAGAGGCTCATGGGAACTGGCTTTGTCATGCAGGAAGGAGCTGAAGGACCCAGACCAGCTCTACAACATGCTGAAGAACCTCCTGGCCCAGATCAAGGTGTGGGCAGGAAAGGACCCTCACTCTGGGGTGCCTGTCTGCCTGACAGGCAGAGCTCAGAGCTGCCTCCCTTGGGATGGGCTGTACAGGGCTTTGTCCTGGGGCATTGCTGGGGGACCGAGGTGTGGGGGGAGCAGAACCCCTGGGTGCTGGGGCAAGCAAGGGTTGTGTGTTCACTGCTCCAACTGCCCCCCACTTCTCTCCAGACCCACCCCAGTGCGTGGCCCTTCATGGAGCCGGTGAAGAAGTCAGAGGCACCAGACTACTATGAAATCATCCGCTTCCCCATTGGTAGGTTGCTGTGTCCAACCTCCCAGGACAGGCTGAGAACCCCACATTAATAGTGGGATCTGTGCTGGGGACTCACGTTTGGGGTGATGGGAGCCTCGGGCTATTCCACCCCAGAGCAATGACAGAGCAATGAGTTGGGACACATGGTTGGTGTCCAGCTCAGTGGCTGGGGGTTGCAGAGGCCTGGGGAGGGAGGGATCTGACCCTTCCCCACCCACAGACCTGAAGACCATGACGGAGCGCCTGAAGAACCGCTACTACGTCACCAAGAAGCTGTTCATCGCCGACCTGCAGCGCATCATCACCAACTGCCGCGAGTACAACCCGCCTGACAGCGACTACTGCAAGTGTGCCAACACCCTCGAGAAGTTCTTCTACTTCAAGCTCAAGGAAGGGGGGCTCATCGACAAGTAGCGGGGGCTGGCCTAGACCTGCTGTGGCCACTGGCCCTCCCATGGGAGGGACAGGGCTCCTGTAGGATCTAGCCCCACTCTGTTGGTGGGAGCTGCTGGAGGGATTGGTGCTGCTGAGCAGCCTGGGGAGCTGGGCTTTCATTCCTGGGGAGCCACAGGGGCTGGGGGGCTGGTGCTTTTATCCCTGAGGTGCTCTGGCTGCCTCTCCCAGGGAATAGGGGTGAGGCTGGAGCTGCCTCATCAGGACCTGCCCTGGGCAGGGACAGCACTGAGCTCCTGCCTCTGCCTGGGGAGGGGAAGCCCCCTGACCCCTGTGCATCCCCTTACCTGGGATCATGCCTTCTGCCCTGACTCCCTGTGACAGGGCAGGGGTACACAAGTGCTTTGGTTTCTGCTCCGTCCACGTACAGGCAGCCCCTACCCCTCACACTGAATGTACGGCGGGGTCAGCCCTGTGCTGCCCGCAGCGGTGCTGCTCCTGGGCCAGGGTCCTGCTGGGCAAGGGGCTCTGCCCTGCACACCCAGCTCCTGCTGCCTCTGTCAGCTCTTCCCTCCCCCCGGGGCAGGTCTGCCTTCCCTGCCTGTACATCCTCCCTGCCTGCCCCTGCTGCCAGCTGGGGTGTGGGAGGCTGCCAGCCCCAGTCCTGCCCCTCTGAGTGCCAGGGAAGGTGGCTGCCCGGTGCTGTGCTGGCCTCTGCTCCCTGCTCTGCTCTGGCTGGCAGCCACATCTGCTCGTCTCCCCCCTTGCTCCCACCTCCTTGTGCCCTCCACCCCTTTCCCTGCCCCCTACTCCCCCATTCCACTTGACTGGTGTTTTCGTTGGTTTGTTTGTTTTGTTTTTTTTTTTTAATAAATGTCCTTGTGCAGCCCCAGCTCCATTCTTGGGGCTCACCCCAGCGTGGTAGGCGAGGGAACAACCTGGGATGCTCCAGAGGGCGTTGGGGAGGGGAGCAGGAACAGCTCGGGATGGGGAGAGAGTGAAGATCGCGGTGGATGGGCTGGGCAGAACTGGGGTGCGGGGGTTGGTTGGGGTGCACGGTGCTGCGCTGGGGTCCCGGACAGGCCGGGGCACAGGGGCGGGGGATTCTGCGGGAGCTCCACTCGGCTTTGGTTTCGGCTCCAGTTTGCAGCCGGGGCTCCAGGGGGGGCTCCCCGGGCCGGGCGGGCGGCTCGGTTCGGTTCGGTTCGGCTGGGCAGGGTTCGGCTCGGCTCGGTTCGATTCGGTTTGACTCGGCTGGGCAGGGTTCGGCTCGGCTTGGCTGGGTTC